TAGGACGTGGCAAGGGTTGCTTTAGCTTCAGGGTATGGCAAGGAAGAGGGTCACGTTCTCCTTTTGGCCTGAAAATGCTTGCAACACTCCTTTTGATCTCACACTTTTTTGACACTTTTTGGATTTTGCTCTGGCCATTTCAGTGCTCTCTAGGTCGTAAATGAGGTTGGGAAGGCTTGCATATGTACATGTGAATGAAAATAGGTCACATTATGAGCTTGTATCTTGTGCAATTAAGCCTTGAGATTTTGGTTTACCACCATTAAAGAACATTCCATCTTTGAAGCAAAACTTGAATTTTATGCTCAAAATGGCCCTAGCACGAATTTGGTAGGTGGAATATGACACATGAAAGCCATTCAAACCTCAAAGATGCCATTCAATTAATTTTTAGATTTTATTTGAATTATTATGGATTTAAAATGAATTAAATCCATAAAAATTAAATAAAAATGAAAAAATAAATGTTTGGTCTTGAAATTAATCATGGGACACGTGTATGGCATGACAAGGCTGAATCAAGTGGAAGAAAGTGGGCCCTTTTGTTAAAAATTGAAGTTTCAAGGATAGTTGACTTTTGCCATTTCACAAAAATTTCTCAACTTCTCCAATGCATATCTTGCTCAATTTTGATCATATGAACATGTTCTTGGACATTTTGGAAAGGTCTTGAAGTCCTCTAACCAATTCCTTTGGTCCCATGTCATTTGAATTTACCAATCTCAAGTTATGGTCTTTGACTTAAAGTGCATTTTTGTTGACTTTTGAAAATGACCTATAATGTAGAAATTGATAACTTTTTGTGAGAGCATTTCTTGGACTTGGAATGTGAAGATGAGTTGTAGGAAATGTCATCCCCTTCAAAATGAGCATTGGATGGGATTTTTCTGATGAACCATGAAAAAGTTATGTCTTGGTCAAGTTACAGTTGACTTTTCAGTTGTCCAAAAATAGAAACTTTTGACACCTTGATGATTTTTGAGCCATGCTTGTGGAATCATGATCAAGACTTGATCCAATGATGATTGTGACTTCAAAATGAGATGTTGACCAAAAAATTTGACTTTTGACTGCCAAATGACCATTTTGCCCCTGCAGTTGATTGTGGAGCAACTAGGGCTTTTGACTGTGCAATTTGATGCTGTGAGCCTTGAAACTTGGCATGTAGGTGCTTGACAATGTGTATAGGCATATGTGACTTGATTGAGCCCTTGAAAATCTCAACTTTCTTGCAAGAACCAAAACCCTAATTTTGACTGGCTTAGGAGGATGTTTTGACTGTGCAACCCTTGAGTAGACTTGAGCAAATTGAGATGATGTTTGTCAAAACTTTGAAGAATATGGGAGGGCAAATTTTGGGGTACAACACTTGCTTTTTAAAGAAAAGTGGAAAACATGTTTCAAGGTGTTGTACAAGCATGGTCTGAAGTTGTTGGAGGCTTTAGACCCGTTGCTTCTAGTTTATAGGGGGTATGTGTGCAAAAAGGACAAGCGCAAAGCTCAATACAAAAACTTTTCTAAAAATGGCAATGATAACTTTATGCCATTACAGGAAAGTTAGCTTGGACAATACTTTAAACAGTTGGGTAAAAGCTTAATTAATTGTGTAAACAATTAATTATGGAGTGAGACACAAGTTTGAGACCTGAAAAGCAAGATCGTGTAGCCTGACCTATGGATTCTGTTTTCAACTTGATTCCTTGAATCGAATACTCCATCCTTCCATAACTTTCGACCAGGCTCATCAAAGCAATATTCGTTTCCACCAATTGTGTGTCCTTCGAATGGACCAAATGTATGTTCTTTGAATGGGCCACCAATGTATGTTCTTTGAATGGGCCATCATATGTATGTTCTTCGAATGGGCCACCAATGTATGTTCTTCGAATGGGCCATCAGATGTATGTTCTTTGAATGGACCATGTTCATCTGAATGTACCACTTTGAGCATGCAAGATGATTTCATTGGCATAGTCAAAATGAAAGGAAATCTGGATTGCTCACCTACTTCACAAAGTTTTTTCAGGCATCTCAAGACTTGGAAAACCATATCTTGAGTAATCAGTTGAAAGTTCAAATGTCCAAACTTCAAATGCCACAACCAATTATTCTTGTGGTTCGAATCAAGTATGAATATAGACTTGCTTTGTGGATCGAAACAAACATGAAGGAAATCATTTCTTCGTGGATCGAAGCAAGTATGAGAGAAGTCATTGCTTTGTGGATCGAAGCAGGCATGAAGGGAGTCATTGCTTTGTGGATCGAAGCAGGTTGAGAGGTGGATTGAAGCAGGTTGGAGGAAGCCAATGCCCAATCGAAGCTTGTTAACCAAGCTTGCTCGAAGGAGGCCAAATGCTTAATCGAAGCTTGTGAATCAAAGCTTGCTTGAAGGAGGCCAAATGCCCAATCGAAGCCTCTGATCCAAGCTTGCTCGAAGGAAGCCAGATGTCCAATCGAAGCTTATGAATTAAAACTTGCTCGAAGGGGGCCAAATGCCCAATCGAAGCGTGTGAACCAAAGCTTGCTCGAAGGAGGCCAAATGCCCAGTCGAAGCCTCTGAACCAAGCTTGCTCGAAGGAAGCTAAATGCCCAATCAAAGCTTATGGATCGAAGCAAACTTGCTCTTCTTTGATTTGATGCTTGAGAGTCCAATATGATTCATGGAAACTACCTGGGGCATTAAAAGTCTAATTGTACTTGTGCAAATTCAAACTCTAATTTTGAGTCATCAGTGTTGAGGAAGTATCTTGAGCTGATCAAATCTTGTGCAGTCTTGATCCAATAAAAATCTTGTGAGAGAATCTTTGAGAAATTGGAGAGGGAAAATTTTGGGTACAACACATCCACAAAATGGTGTGGCGCTAAGCCATTCCATATATGCACCTACGAAAAATCCATGAACTGAATAAAATTGTAATTATTCCCATGTTTTGCTAGTTTAAAATACTTTCGTAGATGCATCTACGGAACGAAACAATTTTTTTTATAAAAAAAGGTATTTTCGAATGTGCATCTAGGAAAGCAGGGGGCATAATTGGAATTGCGCCAGGTGACTAAGAGATTCAATGAGTGCATTGAGAAATTCTCGAAAAAAATGACCCGCGATTATATCGATTTCCTATTTGTCATCTGTTTTGTTTTTTAGGAAATTTCTTTCTACACCTAGTACCCTTCATCTCACCTGTTAAGAAAAACCCAAAATACCCCCAGAATTCGCAAGTGCACTTGCGAACGCACCACCAACGTAATTTTTTAGATTTACTTTGCAAGTGCACTTGCGAATTCACCTTTCAGTAGAATTCGCAAGTGCACTTGCAAATTATACACTGTGTTGTTTTTTCTAAGAATCTAAGGTTAATTTTAAGTGCGCTTGCGAATTCTGCGGAAACAGAAACAGATCCATTATTTGCATCATGAATCGTAGATTTTTAGATTTTGAGACATGGAAAAAACAAATAATTGTAAAACTAAATATAGATAATATGTTATATATGTATTGAAACATATAAATTTAAGCGGCGACGATTTTTTCAGTGCATTTTTAGAATGTAATTGAATCATTTTTTGAATGTGTTGTCGAATATATTGTCAAATATCTAATACATGAATCAATTATGAAATAAAAAGACCTAAAAAGTTTATATGAGAAATTATTAAGATATGGAAATTAACTATTTGAATAGAAACATGGTCATGAGTAAATAGTTAGGACAAAAGTTGATTTATGTAACCGATTTCACTAAGGGTGTATTTGGATTGACGGTGAACATAATTGATTCTATCAGAATTGTGTTTGGTATAATCGATTTTAACAAAATTAAATTTACCTGAATTGATTTATATTTAGATACATTTATATAAAAATGAGTAACAATAAATTTCAGTGTAAAAATTATTTAGAATTAATTCTGGAGATAGAACTCACAAATTATAACTTTAAATAGAATCAATTCTGGAGATAGAATCAATTTTACTTTTAGACAAACACATCAAAATCACTCCGGATCAATTCTACACCTCTATAATTGATTTTGGATTATCCAAAAGTCAATTCAAACATGATATAAGTAGAATAAAAGCTAATTTATATAACATTCAAAGAAAAGTTATAAACTAATAAAAGAAAACTATGAACTCGTCTTAAACAGTTATCAAAATATATTTTTATTAATGTTAATTAAAAAGGTAAAAGTTAATTTATTAATTTTGGCAAAGTGTACAAAATAAGTTATTAATGTTAACATTTAAAAATATTTTTAATATAAAAATATAAAATATTAATCAAGTTGGTCTCTGTGTTGGTATATGAGGAGGTAGTACATTAACATTGTAATGTTGGAATGATATTAAGTTTGTGCAATGGCACATATTGAGGTTTGAACTGTTCTTGTATGTCTCACGAGATATTGCCCTGATTTATTGTAGATGTTAATGCCTATATGACCCGACCTAGCCCTTATGTAATCTTGAATCTGAGACCCAAAAAAATGCACCATACATATCTTATCTCAAGCATTGGATTAAGTACTAGATTCTTTTAGTTTTAAAATATAAATTTGTTTTTATTTTTAAAATTGATTTTTATAAATTGTTTTTTATAAATTGTTTTTAAAATATTAGAAGTTCACAAACATTGTGGGGGCAACATATGGTTCCCCTGCAATTTGCAGGGCAAAGATTTAGTTACAATAAATATTAACTTCTGAAATAATATGGGGGGAAAAGTATTATTCAATTGACTATATACTAAAATGTAACAAACTTACCTGAAATAGTAGGATTGAAAAAGTATCATTCATTTGACTATATACTAAAATGTAACAATTTTCAGAGGACTATCAATTCCTGTTCTGAAAATCTAGCTATCAAAATGGCAGTTTACCCTTGACATTTCTTTTAGGATTGCTATATTCACAATATTATTCACAAGCTTTATTTCAATATAACAACATCATCACTCTAACTATGAAGAAAAAAATGCATGTACGAAATGAAACAGGTTACATGATAGTGTCTTGTTCTCCACTAGTGTCATTTCTTCTTCCCAATAACCAGGATAGACCTGAACTGATTGATTGAGAGCATTCCGCCAACATGTAAAGACAAAACAAGCATAGTCCTGTATTAACAAAATGTTAGTCATGCTCTCCAATCATTATGAACATTGAACTCAGACAGCTGAACATGGAAACAATGAAAATAGTAGAGCTCTCAGCCCATTAATAGATGATAAAACTTTAAAAGGATATGTTTTTCTTTCTACCTATTGAAATCAAGTCATTACATGAAGGATCCAATTAACTTATTTCATCGGTTTTCTTAATTAATGTGGGATGTTTACAGTTATTACTTATTAGAGACTGTTCCAAAAGGGTAACATTCTGTCCTGTATATTTGACTTTCCTAAACATGATTTAAAACCCAGCCATTACATAGATTTAACTTTCCTAAGGTAAACATCAGTCATGATTAATATTTACTAACTGTTAATTTGTTCACAAGTGGTTGATATTGCTCACTTCATAGGAATAAAATCTCAATACAAGCCATAACAAATATCAAAATAAAGCTTTAGAATGCTAGAGATGCTATTCAAGATGAAGAATTGCAATTTCATCAATAGCTGATGCAAAGCCTTTCCCCTATCTATTTTACTTGTAGATAATGTCCAATATTATGTTCTTACTGAAGCCAGAAAGCCAGAGCAGCATTGTCATTAGAACTTAAAAATGAAACACACGGGTTCTCACCCCTACAAGTGATCAGCAACTTGTCTTTCTGAATTATTATTTTCAAACATTTTAGGGTGAACTCAGGCTATCCCCAGGCCAGGATACAAGAACTAACCTAATTACCTACCAACCGTGTCAAACCATGTTGATATTGCTTTTATGATTTTCATATATTACTGATGGATATAGATTAAATCTTTACATTCAGTTTTAAGGCTAGTCACAAAACAGTTGACAAACTAAACCCTCGTTGTAAGTGCCTCTTGTTGCAAGTAAATAAACAAAGATGCATACTATTGTAGTTATTACAAATTTTGGTTCACAATGAACAGTTAGTTGGCTTGGCACGACAGAGTTCAGTATTGACAAAATACTTTTAACTACAATCAGAACGAATGTTAAGAAAGTATTACGAATCAAAATAGGGAGAAAGAAGGGAAGAGAAACATAGCTGCATAGCTAGGAAAGTCCAAGATCAAAATCATATAATAAAAAATAGAACAACGGTGCTCTATTCATAGGTTGGGAGAATGAAGAAGTACTAAGAAAGAGGTCCAAACTCCAAAGTAAAATCCTGCTGCTAACAAGTTTCCCCTCCCCGCAAACAAATAACTACCAAAACTTTCCTATACAAAAATAGGCTTTATTGAATCTGCAAACTTAAGTTCGAACTCACTAACCAACAGATTAACTAGCAAATCTCGTAATTGTATAGTTGCTAAATTAGACTAGAATGGTGATAATAAATAACGTAAAGAGGCAAAGTAGAAAGGTACGAACCAGCATATGCAATAGTAATACCGAAAGCAAGTCGTCCGAGAGCAGATAATGCATAAAGGCAAAGAATGACCTGAAACCGTTATTGAGCGTCTTTATGTAAAAGAAGAGATTGTAATTAATTGAGAGAGTGAGAACCGCATTCAGCATGGCAATACCTTAAGAAAGAGTCTTTTGTCATGGCCGGTAGCGGCGACCCTCAAAACAGACTCAGCGGCACCGACGGTGTTAGCTAAAGAAGCAACAATAGTATTAGCAGTATCCTGAGAAATTTGCCACTCAAGAGGATCCACCGGAACTCTGAAATTAAAATTGAAATCGAAAGTGAAATCGAATGAAAGGAAACCCTAATAAAGAAGTAAAAAAGAATAAATAGAAACATACTGAATGGTCATTTGACGGAAGAGAAGACCGAGAATGGCGAGGGAGCAGAGAAGAACAATGAAGACATCGGAGAAAAGAGAAACGATAGCAGAGTTCTTGAAAGCGCAGTGATAGTAAACGAGTGTGCCGCAAACCAACGCGATAATCGGTTTTCCACATTCAGAAGTTCTTTTCGTTTCCATAACAATCTCGCTACTGTTATTGCTCATGTTTAAAATCACTATTTCTCTGAATTCTGAATACTTGACTTCTCGTTAGGGTTTACAAACCAATTTCTATTTCTTTCTTTCTTGATACTGCTCCGATTCAATTAAAAACAAAATTACTCTTTTTTAGGTGGAAACACCAAAGCTGTTGCTAATTAATCTAAACACTGCTTTTAATATATAATTTAATTGGTTAGGGAAATTTTCAACTTTTTAAACTAACTACAAAATTTTATTTTTTTACTATCTTAACAAATCAATCCGATTAACTAGATACTTCATTCATCGTAAATTATACAACATTTTAATTATTTTTCATAAATAAATAAAAAATGATTAAATTTGTATTGTATCTACCGTTCACAATGTTAAATACGGCAGACTCAAAAGTATCATCAAACAGTAAAGTGTATGGAATAAGTGATTTTTCATCTTATAGACGCTCTGATCACCGTCTGAGTAGATTCAATGACTATCTGCGTAATGTATTTCATCGCATGGAGACAATTTTAATCACTATCACTATATAAAGAGAAAAGTGTGTCTTTTCAAGTAATCAAAATTCATCTCTCTCTCGCGTTTTCTTTATTCTCTCTCTAACTTGGACATTAGAGTCTTAACTTACGGATCAACCCCTTTCTCTGCCGCACCGAAAGCACAAATTCATTGCAACAATGCATTACATCATCATTTCACCGATCATTTCTAGTTATGAATCAAACAATGGTGTCATCTGTGAGAATCAATGTATGATTTCTACAAGTTCCATGAAGAACGGCCATTTCTCACTTGTATATCCAAATTTCTTATTCTTTCCTCGCAAACATCGATCTCTTTCCAAACAATTTTATACCAAACTTTCGAAGCTATGGTGAATTCGAAAGTACCACAATCTACCAAAGTTGTTGTTGCGGCTGCTCAAGCTAGTAAGACTCATTTTTCTTCATTAGTGATGGATGATCCAATCTTAGTAACTTCTCTTTCTAGTTCAACATCGTAAGATTTGGCTCTTCAAGGAATCACCTTAGGAGGATTCCAAGATTTTCCAACTTTTCATTATTTGCCTCCGCCTTATCAAGATGAACTTTCAGACCAACCTCTTGTACAACCTATGGTACCTAGACAATAATTGTTTCCCAACCTCCAACTACTTCATGCCAATCTCGACATGCAGGCAGCCAACCTCCAACAATACTTATAAAAGAAATAGAGATAGAAAGATAGTGGATAGTTTATATTTAGATAATTTTTATCCGGTAGAAATGGCGCACTCTTTCCACCGTAATCTTGGATATTATTTTTGCTTCTATCCATTTATTGAAGTAGAAGACTCATGTTATTAGGAACTTCAGTTGACCTGGTGCCAAGGAGAACGGCCCAAGAATGTCCACGCGTCATTGGTAGAAAGGCCGGGGCGAAGTCATCGACTAGAGAATCTTATCAACAAAGGCTTCTTAGCTTGGTACTTCCTAGAGACTTGGTTGGCGACTAGCTGGTAATCACTTTTAGCCTTCAATCTAGAGGCTCTCATTTTTATGGCGATGATCATTTCGGTGATGGGAGCCTCGCACTCTGCCTAGTTGTTACTGGCGGTGAACTCGAACTTTAAGGCTTGCTCGATGAGTATGTTGCCAGGTTCTTCTAGAAATATCCCGACAACGCTCTCTTTTATGTTGGAAGCGTCATCTATAGATAACGTCCATTCTATTGGCGTCTCCTCGTCTACAGGCGAGTTGAATTCTGCCATGAAATCTACCAGAGCTTGTTACTTAATGCTCCCCCTCGAGATATATTGAGTGTCATATTCTGAGAGTTTCATTATGTTGGATACCATCCTTCCTGCTAGATCGAGCTTCTTCAAGATTTGCTGAACATGTAGTTAGTATTTACTAGGATCTTGTGACTCTGAAAATATGGTCTTAATTTCCTCGCCACAACGACGACGACTAACACCAATTTTTCAATCTTCTCATAATGTGCTTTGGTACCTCTAAACACCGTAATTATGATCAGATCGAGTCCGTTTTCGACTGAAACTGTCTGCTTGTCCACCCCCTAAGTTGAAGATAGCACTGGTCTTGCCAAGGATCCGATTAGAATCTAGTATACTTTATCTCCAAAGCACTTGAAATCCATGCTCATTCTAGTATACTTTGTCTCCAAAGCACTTGAAATCCATGCTCATTCTAGTATACTTTGTCTCCAAAGCACTTGAAATCCATGCTCATTCAAGAAAACTTACAAATGTTTTAGTAACTCGTACAATGGACGCCTCCTTCCTTAAGATCTAGCACTACTACTATTGAATAAGACCTGCAATGATTTAAAATTTATCATTCCTAATTTGTTTTGTCAAGAAATAAATGATTGATAGTTTTTCCATTGAACAATAAGGGTCCTTTACAACTTTTTAACAAAAAAATTAATTAATTTTATATTGAAAAATATTCTCTGTAAAGAAATTATTGTGAAACAGAGTACCTAAACAAAATTTGTGCAAATGAATATTAGTTCAGTTTATAAAAATTTAACTCCTATCCCGCCAGAATGTGGATTCAACTTTCTTTGTCAATATGAGAACAAGTTCATTAAGCTTACAAACAAATTTGTGTTTTGGAAGAAGATTGTATTGGGTTATTATACATAGAAGTTGCAGCAAGTTTGGCTTAGAAACCTTTGTGTAGCCAAGCGCATGCAACAACTCGGTATGGTTTCTAAATCAAAATTGACTGTTCACACATGCCACACCATTTCTATAAGCAGTTCTTATCATTTTTCAGACTGAAAAATAAACATACTACTAGTATTAAATCAAGTCTAAGAACCAACTAGAATAATCCTCAACTTAAAGGCGGTTTGTTTGACCTGACAATTACACAAAAAACATCCTAGAAACTCACAGATATGACACAACAATAATACATTTGATTTAGCATAAAAGCATTGATACGCTCTCTTATACTCATATCCTAAGCAGGTGGCGGCTTTCGCAACATTTATATTGCAGTTAGCAAGGGAAGAGAATGGGACATGGATCCCTCTCTAACTTACTATTTGATAAATCTAGTTTTTTCATCTTTTCTTCACACCAAAACAGTTGTTCTCTTGTCATCCTTGTCATTCTAAGAACCCTTGATAGGATTTTCACGTCAATTAGACCAAGCAATAGTTGAATGTCCTCGTGCTTTTGTGGCCAAGAACTTTTTCTCCAACCCTTCTTCCTTTTTCGCAGTTCCTTCAGTTTCACCACTTTCTGCATTAGAGCTAGCCATTAGCTTTTTACCATTACAACATGCATATTATAGAACTGTTTGAAGCAAGCCTTGAAAATCAATAATATAGCATTTTACGTAGACACTAGAATTGATATACACTGCCAACTTAAGTTAATTACCAAGCCTAAAAGTTTACAAGATCAATAATGACCTCAACGTCAAGCAAAATTGCTGTCTATACGCTTCAAATGTTGGCGGATATATCATAAAATTCATAAGTTGGATCACAGGGTAAAGGATCGGAATTTACCTTCTCAAGAGTATACTGAACCTGTTGTAGAGGAGTTGCAAGCTGGTTCTGGTTTCCAAACAGGTTGATAACACCACTTGACTTCTTCTTGTCCCTTTTCAGGAAAAGGTGGAAAGTAAGGATAGAGTTTTCGATTATCCTGATCAGATCTGGAGCAAGAACTCTCATATCTGACTCATCTGTTAATTCATTATCTGAACCTGAATCAATTCATTAACTTGAGCACTTAGCCATACAAGCATAAACCTCAGAAACATAAATGCAGAATTACATTACATTTGCTAACGAACAAAATGACCAATAAAGTATTTTTGTACAGATAACATAATGAACATCTATGGCAGCCCAACTGAGAGTATACAATTTACATTTACCTCGTATATTAGGAACCTGAAGCAGTTTAGGCAAAGTGTTCCTTGTGCGAGCATAAATTTCAGGTCGAAGTCCTTGCTCGAAAGGTTCATTTTCAATAAACCTCTGCAATAGAACTTGGAACTGTTGAAACTCCTGTGCACTACGGTTATAACAGGTAGGATTTTCATGTTGCCAAGATATCTTATAACTCATATGAGAGTACTGACAATGAAGTGCCTCCCAAGTCAAGCAAATTTGACCTATATACGCCGTTTCAATATCCAAGTATGGACAATTTTCAGGCTGTTGAAGATGTTCAAACTCATCATCTGGTTCTTCAAACCTTTTCAAGGAAAGACACCGCATGGGAGAGACCAGTTTCTTTGCTGTAGTAGATCTTGGAGATGGAGTTGGAGTGTTCTGAGAACCTGACACGGTAAATATGCTTCATATTACAAAATTTGGCAAATGTGGACATGGATAATAAGATACATTGACACATATAAGTTAGAAGATCTTTCCTTGGATTTGTCTTTTCTGGAAAGAAATAAAAAAGGTAAATTTTATCGGGCATCAATTACTATTACTGGATAAAACCACCTTTTCCTATACTTCAGCTAAAAAGAAAGCAACAATGAAAAAACTACCTTTTCCGATTTCACTAAGATGCTGCCCACACATCCGATCAAAGAACAGCATTCTTTCACAGTACTTTTCAAAAACAGCATCAAAGCCTCGCCACCACTGCTGACCTTCTGCCTCCACATCCCTCCATTCATTAGAACCCGTCTCTCCCTCTTCCTCTTCATCCTCCCCTTCCTCCAGACACGAATCTTCTTCCGGAATCAAAACCATAAAACTGTTTCTTCTCAATTCCTTGAGCCTCCTCTTCACCTCATTGGTAATAAAATCATCGTCATCCTCCTCAACATCACCAGCAGAATCTGCATTTTCTGATTTATACTGATCCGAATCACCAGCGTTAGTCTTCGGTTCCTCAGGCTCCGGTACTGCCTTGTCTACCAAATCTTTCTCTACACCTCCTTTCTGAGATTTTCTAAACTTCTTTTTAATCTTCAAAAAATCCATGCTTTCCACCTCCCCTTTCAAAATCAAACAATTCTAACCACAACCCAAATACACCAAACGATTTCGTTCAAAATAACCTACAAATTACATCAAAACACAGAGAAAATGAGCTATAAATATTAATGCTAGTTAACTGACCAAATAATACTCAAACAATAGTGTAGCATCAACCAAACCAACATTTAATTTTGTTATACAAATAAGCAAAAACCAAAAAACTGAAACTGAAAAAAAGAACCTTTTAACTTGTTCTAAGGCCTAAAACAACAAATTAAAACCGAAAAAAAAAAGCCTTTTAACTTGTTCTAAGGACTAAAACCTGTTTAAAAGTAAGTTCCATTACAATACACTAGTGATCAGCATAGATCACGAGAATGACAGTTCAAAAAAAGTGGTGAAACAAAAGATCTTGAAAAGTTTCTTTTTTCAAGTCTTAAATAAAAAGTTGCTGAAAAAAAGAAAGATAATGGATATTTACTTTACCTTAGGAGTAAAAGTGTGAAATGGTGAAAAATTACAGAGATCAGTAAGTGACCGACATTAGTTAAGGTTTAACTGAATGAGTTTGCATGCAGAGTGTTCCAGCATTGAAGTTGTGAAGATGAGTTTGATTCTGCAACAGTAATGGAGAAGAATGTGCAAAGAAAAAGAAAACCCTAGCTGAGCTTGGAGAGTGAAAGAGGAGTAGTGAAGTGAGTGACAGTAGAAAATATAGTATTAAAAAGAAAAGTAATTAGACTGAGAGAGAATATAAATAAATTATAAATTAAAAATAGCATTAATGCAAATAGAACACGAGAAAGGGTGTGAAGAGAGAGAGAGAGAGAGAGAGAGAGAGTAGAAAGAAGACAGTGTGGTCGTACGCGGAATACTGTCAGAAACCAGCGCTAAAACTTGTTTTCATTTCTAAATCCTCTTTTCTACAATAGTAGTATATTAAAAAATTAAGCGATTTTTTTAATTTATTCTTAATCATTAATATTTTGAAATTGTAACTGATTAATGTAAGATATATTAAAATTATTATATTTGGACAAGAGTAACTTTAATTTATCCCGTCAAAAAATTTGGAAGAATCATCAAACTACCCTATGTAGGAATGTCCTACATCCTTGATAGACTCCTAAGCCTTAGAATCTTTAAACACATCATAGTCATAAACAATCTCATCATAAATTTTATAGAGAAAAGTAAAGTTTCTTCCGGATAAACTCTTCTAAAATTAAAGGTCTAGATCCTTTATTATTAGAATTCTTTTTTCTAGAAAAATAAATCATACCTCCATTCTTAGAGAAGATATCGTATCACTTTGACTCTTGACCTTACAAATTCTAATAAATTAGATAAAAGAAATCTTTAACCACATGATTTATTGCAAAGAAATCTCATGAATGGGGCTCTCTTATGGACCAATTGTCACAAGACTCTTATCTAACTTCCATTGACACCATGAATGAAGGTGTCTCTACCAACCATAAAATCATCAACAATGTTCTAAGAGAAATTAAAGTTCTCGTCAAACATGGAGAAATTCATTAAGACTCAACAATCAAGGAAGAATGAGAAGGAGATCCAGTGGAAAAAGATACCAAGAATGACAAAGTGTTGAAAATTTATTAAAGTTTAGTCGAAGATATGAAGAAAATCATGACAAGGGATGGTGATGCTTATGGAATTGAATAATCTTATTTATGTGTGTTAATTCTCTGTTTTTGTGATTGACATTAATTTTTATAAAACTGATTTGACAGCAATATGTTGAACAAGATGTTTCAACTTGCAGTTTCAATATGTCGAATGCAATGTCCTAACCAGAAGAGTGAGACATCTGGTCTGTTACAGTTTTTACAGTTTAGATACTGTTGATTTAAATTATTTGATATTTTGTGAATGTTAAGTAATCATATGTGGCGTCCAAGACTGAAGAATCAGAGATTGTGTTGGTATTCAAGCTATTCAGTTTTCTAATGATTGAAACATTTTATGAATGTTGAGACATTTTAGAAAATCATTGATTGAAGACTGGTCGGTAAATTAGCAAGTGTACTAATTCACCAATGTAGTAATAATGGAAAATCCCAAAGTATCGATCTCAATGACTGCATATCAGTATCGAGTGTAATGTGTGGTTCAATTAAACAAAAACTTGAATTGGGTTTTGAAATTGTCACTTAACAATAAGCATAAATATAAATTGGTTTTTCACTAATATGAGGAGCATGCTAAGGGTAAGTGTGTGATTTGCCCATGAAATAACTTGACTCATGATTTCTTCAACAAGTTCATAACCTTCAACTATCAGATCTTTAGTTTGTTTTCCCCTAAGTCCTTAGTGGGAAAATCTTTGGTCTTTCATCCTAATACCTAGGTCCTTAGAGAATTACGATGAAACCAAACATTTATTCTATCAAGATTTTACCGGTAATTATAGGGTATCCCTAGTCCTAGGTGATATCTACTATAGTTTAATCGTTCAAAAACTTTAACAATGGCGGTTCAACCCTAATTGTTAACCGTGAATCAATTCTTATTTGTCCTATAGAAAAAGCATAAGAATATTGAACAATTAAATTGAAAAGAAACTATTGCATCAAAATCAAGAATTTAAAATCGTTACATTTACAAAACAGAGACACCCCATAGCATTGAGGGGTTTAGCTAGTCATATTGTTCAACATAACTACAAGATAAAAACTAGACGTTACAGGTATTTGGATAACTTCGATCTTCAATTGCTTCTGCTCATGAGAATCTTCCGCTCTCCAAGAACCTTGATCTCTCCAATCTTCAATCGTGTAAACTATTCTTCACTAGCAAAAAGTCCTCTAATTCATCGTGGAAACTCATCTAAATAGCAAAAATTCACCTAGGTCAGGTGGAAGTATCCAAAACGCCCCCACAATTTAACATATGGGCAAAATAGAAAAAAGACCAGTAATCAACGTCACAGACCAACATGTCTCGTGTTGGGTAACACGGCCGCCTGCGTTGGCCCTCAAACTTTTAATTCTCCAATTCAAGTCCTAGAGGTTGCAACACGGTCGCCCGTGTTGCACCCCTTACTTCCCATATTTTCCAACGCGCCCAAGGTGTCCCTATTGACACGACCTGTGTCAGGTCTCGTGAAACGTGATTTTTGCATTTCTTTCGAAACTGAGTTTTGCACTAAATTGTCCCGATTTATTCCTCTGAACCTGAAAATAGTAAAACACATAACCAACGCATAAAAAGTGGTAAAATGAAATAAAACACGCGACAATAAAAAGAAAAGATAACGAAACTTAACGGTAAATAATCGTGTAAAAACCACTGGTCAAACTCCCTCAAACTTAAACTGTTGCTTGACCTCAAGCGACCATTACAAGAACTCATGAAAATCACAGCAGCATAATACTCATACGTGAGACATCCATTCACATTGATCAAAAGACAGTCCATCCGATGTTCACATGACGCAAGGAGTTTGTGTAAGAATCTTTAAATCTCGAGCTTCCTCTTCAGATACCTCTCTAACTATGCATTGTACTTAAGTCTTTTTATGATTTCTCTCCTTTTTCATTCAGACAGTCAAATTAAGGTAATGAGAATTTTTTATGATCATCACACGCACAAGACTAATCAAGATTTTTTTTGTTTAAGCACCAAATAAGCAGCTTTTTCTCCTCTTTAACTTCGGACAAAATTTTCAAAACTTTTTAGTTTATATATTGTCCTTTTGGACGATGTTTGGGGATCAAGCCCCTTTGGGCTTAGTAACCGGGTGAGGGCTACCCAACTTAGTGAGCCAATTGCCTTTGACTGCCTTTTCATCATTCAATGCCCACTTTATTTATTTCTCAACCAATCATACATGCATATGAATCTAGATTATGCCAGACTGTATTGATAAACTACTCAAGGAGTACTTCTCAGAATTCAAGCATTATGGTACAAATTTACATGTTAGACTCGTATCACTGTCACGTTATTCCGAACTTCTTACCCTCAAACAATCATCCATTTGTCTTTATATACTATTCCCAATCTCTATGAAATACAAGCTCTTTAGCAAAATAAAACAAAAAATTTCAGTCAAAATTTGGGAAGAACTTTAACTCGTGGATTTACACAACAATTAGCATAAAACCAACAAATAACTCGAAAAGAAAAGCAGTAACCCCCCTGTTGTACCCCAAAATTTGCCCTCCCTTTTTCACAAGAAATCACAACCCTAGGGTTTTCTCAGATTTTTAAGATTGGCCCAGGAATCAATCAAACAGACTTTTCTTTGGCAGCAAATCAAGAATTAGGGTTTCTCTCGTATTTCTCAGAAAGAAACTGAATTCTCAGAAATTCAGTTAACTGTCACATGTTTTCACACTTTTTCAAGTTTGTTGAAAGGTTAACTGGTTGTTCTCAAGGCCTGATTATCTGGGATAAGAGATAGGAGCTGAGACTGTTATTTGGAATATCAAGACATCTGCTTGTTAATGGAATGAAATGTTTGCCGGTTAATGGAATGCTTGTTTGTTTATTATATAATGCGTATTTTGATTGGAATGTTGTTGTAAGGTTATGAGACTACAAAATTATTGGTCTACTTAAAGTTTAAGTTATCTGTATTAGAATTGTTGAAATGTAATTTCAATTATTTTGATCTGAGAATCTTAAAAAAAATAAGTGAAGACTTGAAGAAAGAATGGCAAGATTATTGGACAGTAAATGATCTTATTGGATATCAGTTTGCCTCACAAATATTTTTCAGATGATTGATACAAAAATAATTTATTATTTGAATATTGTAAGTTTTTACAGCTTATAGTATTTAAAAAAATAAATGATTACAATAAATGGAAAATCTAAGTCTAAGCCTAAGCTCCATTGCTCCCATGCTCAAAGTCTCCGGCTTCTACTGCTTTGTCGCCGTCCAAGTTGCACTCACATGAAAAAGACATAGGAAAAGAAGATTAGTACAGTTAATTGAAAAGAATTTTCAAACAGAAAAAGAAAGGAAAAAATTC